TACCCAATTTTTACACATAAGGTTTTGTCATGCTTTTTCGCCCAGCGTCCCTGTTGCCCTGTCTCTTTTTGACTTTAAGAATAGAGAACCCAAATTATGCAGTGTGTATTTATAGAACATTAAGTTCTCCACATTCTTGACTTGAATGACTGGGGACGTTGATAGACATCGTTAGCACATTCATGTCTAAAAACTAAGGATAACCAACCACTTTTAGCAGCAATAACATAAAGTAATCTTTTCTATATGACTTTATCGGTCCCTCACATCACTGTGGAGAAATTTGGCAAGATATCAATAATAAATAATTAAATGCAGAGTGGTTTGTAAACACGTAGTGAGTGAAAATAGATGAGTGAAGAAGAAGTTTTAAGCCTACAGGTAGAGAGTGTTTCTGTCTCTGAACCTGAACTGGGAGCAGAAGTCTCTGCCTCTCATTCTACTTTTCAATACCCTAGCAACAGCAAGTTGCTAGGGTATGTGAGTGAAGTGCTCTAATGGGGTGATACGGTCCCAATTTACTAAGATAAGGTCTTAAGGTCTTATAAGCTGGGGCTTGATCATTCAAGACTTGTAAATGATGAGCAGGATTTTAAATTTGATTCTGGATTTAAGAGAAAAGCCGGTATAGGAGAAATCTGCTCTCTCTTTCTAGTGCCTGATAGTATTCTTGGTGCAGCATTTTGGATCAGCTGAAGGACCTTCTGTCTTCCTTCTGATGATACTGCCTAAGGGAAGCATGTATAATGTAAACAGAATTTGCCCTAGCACTGAACTCCATAATTAACCTCAGCTTGTGAAGAGGACTCTCCATTTACATGAACAAACTGGTGTCTGTTAGATACCTACAGCATGCTCCAATCTCTGTAATTAAATATTATGGTCAGCAGTTAAGTGGTTCCTTCCCCCCTTCTCTTAGCTTGAGTCTTTGTGACTTTTAAGGAATATAAGGAGTTAAGAGATCAGCAAGATCTGCTGAAGTAAACAAATTAAGGGATTTAAAAACATATAATAAAATCTTAAAATCAGTCCAAAACCATTCAGAGAGACCAGTAAAGGGTGAGCAGTGGCATTTTAGAGCATTTGAAGGCGTGAAAGAGAAGTGTCATGTCTTCAGTCCTGTTCCTGTTAATGTTTAACAGAATTTAAGGTCATCCAGTCTTCAATGTGACTGAGACATTTTCACAATAGTTTTAGTGAAGTGTCATTATTTTCTTTCAGGGGCAGGTAGATTTGGGAATCATCAGCAAAACAGTGGAAATAGATGCTCAAGTGCAAGTTACCAAGGCAACAATTGAGAATCCTGTGGTCACCTGTGTCAAATCAGAATCAGAATCAGAATCAGAAAGGGGTTTATTGCCAAATGTTGAGCAGGTTTACAACATTAGGAAATTGCTGCGGTGCTTCAGTGCAAACATAGTGTCATAAATTGCGCTTAAATAGACATGGAAAAATAAAAGTAAGAATAAGAATTAAAAGTGCTACGTAGAAAGATATATACATGAGTGCAGGTGGTGATCAGTGCCAAACATGGAATGATGCAGTTGACACAGCGTAGGGTCATGTGTTAGTGGCGGGAACATTCATATGGTTATTGTTCATGTGTCCGACAGCAGAGGGGAAGAAACTGTTCTTGTGGCGAGAGGTTCTGGTGCGAATGGACCGGAGCCTCCTGCCTGAGGGGAGCAGGTCAAACAGACTGTGTCCAGGGTGAGAAGGGTCAGCTGAGATCCGAGCTGCATGCCCCAGTGTCCTGGAGGTGTACAGGTCCTGCAGAGATGGGAGTCTGCAGCCAATCACCTTCTCAGGAGAGCGCACAACACGCTGCAGTCTCTGTTTGTCCCTGACAGTGGCTCCAGCGTACCACACAGTGATGGAGGAGGTGAGGATGGACTCGATGATTGCAGTGTAGAACTGCATCATCGTCCGTGTTGGCAGGTTGAATTTCTTCAGCTGCCTCAGGAAGTACATCCTCTGCTGGGCTTTCTTGATGACGGAGGTGATGGTGGGCTCCCACTTCAGGTCCTGGGTGATGGTGGTACCCAGGAAGCGGAATGAGTCCACAGAGGTGATGGGGGTGTCAGTCAGGATGATGGGGGGGGAGTGGAGCTGTGTGCTTCCTGAAGTCCACAATAATCTCCACTGTCTTCTGGGCATTCAGCACCAGGTTGTTGTGGCTGCACCAGGACACCAGACGTTCATCTTTTGAAACCAAAAGATGAAAAAAGAATTAAAATAAACGAGTCATTAAAAACTAACCTAAGAACAGATTATTTGCTGTGAAAATCCTTCAAACAAACTTGCAATACCTCAATAATCCCACAAATGTCTGGTAAGAACAGGAGCTGACAAAGAACCACTTTATTTGAAATAAAAGGGAGATTAAAGATTGGGTGAAAATTTTAATCTACTGAGATGACTTTTTGTATTCAGAGGACGCACCAATGCTTGTCTAAAATAAGAAATTACCAAACCAGAAACTAGATTTCTGTTTATGATTAACTGAATACAAGGGCTGATTGTGTTCCTCCCTCAATAAACCACCAGAACAATATGGGAAGGACAGTTTTCTTAAGGTAGGGGGACACATTCAAATCTGCTAAACACTACAGAGCCGATAACAACAACAGGCAAGATGTTTGCAATAATCCACACAAAAGTGGAGAAATTTACATCCAAAGGACCAGGACGTCCTCCTGAAATGTTGGGGTTTATAACAAAGGTGACAGCCTCAGGTGGTATAAATGCACTGCAAAAATAGGAAAGACTCTGTTTACTGCCAGCATTATTATTATTAGGGCCTCTATTTATAGTGAAAGCTAAATTAACTATAAACTTTAGAATTCAAAAATTGCATTTTGCGGCCTACAGTGGCATACTGGCTAAATGTTTACTCCCTGTGAATAAACCATGTTTCTTATAGCTGAACAAGTGAACTGCATGTTCACTTCTTAAGCTATAAGGTACCTGTTAATGTACATGACGTAGTTTAATTGTGATAGTAAGTGTTTGTGGGTGTAGCTGTCTGTTAATGTCTAGGTCACTGCTCTGTCTGTTTCTACCTACTCTCATCCCGGGAACAACTAGAAAGTATTTTTGCATCTGTTCACACAGTTGTGCAGTTAGGGAGTAGTTGTATGAGATTCCAAGAGATTCCTATGACTTCATTTAAAAGTATGTATGATGTCAACTTCAACAAATTATTAAATTATTACATTTACTTATATTATTAATGATTATAGGGTCCCTTGGGGGCAATGTTCCCTCTAAGCTGCGCACTGCTGGCTTGCTCTCTGCACACAGAAAATCTGCGTTGCGCACAAAAAAAAAAAAAAAAAAAAAAAATCTAACCTGAATTGAAATGAAAACAAAAACTTTAACAATTCTGTTCTGCAGTGTTAGTCAGTGACTGGCTGCTCCCGTATGGGATTAGAACGATGCCACCTTATCCCACAGTCCAGCCAATGATGCGATTCACATTCGTATATACGCAGCTGATCAACGTGGTTGACAGGCTAAGGACAGCGTCCTTATGTGCGACACCGGTGTTTTAGCAAAGCGGCTGATGTGGAGTGAAGCCACGTTAATGACAACGTGTACAACCATTGGAGATGTGAGCAGGACAGACGGAACAACTGACGGACAAAGTGTGGACTTTATACCAGTTTTTAAATTGTGTTGATCGGCCACGTAAAACCAGAGTTATGATAAAAATATCTGCAGTGTTTGTTTTCCTTCCTGAATACTGTCGTTGTTTTTATTTACTGCAGGAAGAAACGGTAAAAACAGCGTTTTATAAGGAAAACGCTCGAAAGCCTGTGAGCAAAACAGCCCCCCTCCCCCAGCCTTTCCTATTGGTGGAAAAATGCACCATGTCGACCAATCAAAAAATGATATGGCAACATGGCATTTAGTTGTTTAGGAAGGGGAAGTTTTAGGAGTGACGGCGTGTTTTGAGAGATTTACGACATTTAGCGCAAATCTTGTGTAGTTAGTGTGTAGTGTAGTCAATAGTTGTGTTGTGTGTGTCAGAACAATGAGGCGCCTGCTGAGTGTTACAGGTGTTACAGCAGTGACACATCTGCTGCTCTCAGGCCTGCAGGTATCAGGCTGTTGTTCTCCTTCATCTCATTGTGGACAGAAATTATTTTTTGGAGCGGCACAAATAATTTGTGTGGCATCAGATTTGATGCAGAACAGCTGATTGTTCTGTAAATAGTTTGAAATGTTTATTTTAAAAACGCCTTGGCTGCATTTTTAGGTAAACAGCTGCAATAAACTTTGTTTGCATAACTCAGTTACTTTTTTGAAGAAGTAACTATATAATTAATTGCTCAACATTGGTCATTATAAATATATATTTACTGTATTTTGCAGACAGAGTTACAGACTCTCTCCCAGACCTCAGACTCATAATACAAGTCAGAGCTTTATAAAAAAAAAAAAAAAAAAAAAAAAAAGAGTTGTGTTTTCAAAATTGAAGTTCAAGTTATTTTTCCTTCCAATAGTGTTAACATGCTGCACAGGTCATGAACAAGATTTATTTAAATTTTCATTGTAAGTGGGCTAAATCGGTTAATTAAAAGTAGTCTAACATAAACGCTGTAATTTGATTATTTTAATAAACATGTAACTTGGATGCTGGCGTGACCACAGTGCACACGTCTGCTGTTGCTCACAGTGGTCCAAGGGACGCTCAGGGAGTTTGTGTGTTCAGACACGTGAAACATTACAGGGAACGTTGCTTGGGGGTTGCATCAAGAAGGGTGTTCAGCGTAAAACTAGCAAAGTAAACATGTAGAGCTGCTGTGGCAGCCCAAAGCCATGAATGCCAAAGCCACTGTTACATTTAATATACACCACGGCGATGAGTAGCTTCTGTATGGGAAGAAAATGTGACATAAAATGTGAACACAAATAGAAGCACACAGCATTGGAATGAATGTTCAGTCTTTGATGATTTTTTTGACAATTTGAATTTCTTTCTGTGTGTATTACAGAGCAGTCTGCAGTTTACTCCCTGGGGTTTAAGCACATCTTTAGAAGAGCAGGTGGCAGAGCTGAAGGTGGATTGTGAAGTCAAATCATCAGATTCCACTGATCTGGATGCCAGCCAACTCATTTCAGGTAAAATTCAGGGCAGGGATAGCTCAGTAGGTAGAGTGGTGGCCCCATGGTTCGAATCCACTGAACAGCTACCCTGAGGTACCCCTGAGTAAGGTACCGTCCCTACACACTGCTCACCGGGCGCCCAATAGCTGCCCACTGCTTCACTGAGTGAATTTCCCCAATAAAGGGGATCAATAAAGTATACATTATTACATTGAAAGGCTCACAAATCTCTATTATATGATCCAGAACTGGAAACTAAGATTGAAAAATACAATCATTTGTGTAAGTTTTAAAATCATTTATTTATTTTCATTTATTGACAGTTTAGGAGTGAAGAATAGACAGAAAAGAGAGGGCGGGAAAGACATGCAGCAAAGGGTCACAGGTCAAATTCAAACTGGGGCATTATGGAATTAAGGCTACATTTTTCCATGTGTTTGAATTACTTTGTATTTGTGTGTAGATTACTCACAAAAGCATGCATTTGTGAGTAATTTAGATTTATCATGGGAGCATGAAATTCTATTAATGTCAAAAGTTCCACACGGGAAAGAAATCAACAGCACATTGTGCTAATTCAACAAGTGTAGAGCTCAACAGCTACGCGTGCAAACAAGCCATGTTGCATGCGACAGTGTCTGCTTTGTGAACACTGCAACAGATGCACACTCCTGCAGTAACTCCCTGCTCTTGAAGCTGAATCCTGCACGCACCAATCAACTGAATTTAGACTTTTCGGACAGCAGTGCCCAAACAAAGAAAAACCTCTAGTTTACCATTAAAGTAATCCAGTAACAGCTGTCAGCGTTTCCACTGCTACACAGAAAACAATACGTGTTGACAGTTAATTTGGCTAACTTCATTTTCCAAAATGTAAAGAAATATGGTTTCTAACAGAGCTCAATGTTACTGCCACAAACTGAGGTACACTGGTCCATCAAGTGACCAATCACATTAATACCCCGCTTCCTTTGGGCTCCGCCCTTCAAACACTTAAAGGTCAGTTTTTTCCAATAAGCATCTCCAAAACTGCAGCTCTTGTGGGACTGTTTACCAGTACTGACACCTCAGTAACAGTAATAGTGGTGATCCAGTGACAGCGACAGCCAAGGCTCATTGATGCATGTGGGGAACAGTGGCTGGGCCGTGTGCTTTGATCCAACACACAACAGAGTAGCTCACATTGCAGAAAAAAGTTCATGCTGGTTCTGATAGAAAGGTGTCAGAATCACAGTGCATCACAGATGTTTGCTGTTTTGGCAGCAACACGGGGACCAACACAACATAATTGGCAGCTGGTCATTAGGCCTAATCTGTGTAAGTACCACAGTTTACTTTTAACGAAGACAGAATGATTTTACAGGTCTTCGTTTGTTATATGCATGAGACTAGTAGACTCACAACCATGACTGGAAAATAGATGCGAAGAGAATTACTAGTGTGCAAAAGCATAATCAGTAATATCAATAGCAATCTAAGAATATGCTATAATCTCACACCATCCTCTTCAACTAAGCCAAAAACAGATATTGTAGTGGAGGTATCAGAAATACACAGCATTATGGCACTGATTCCTTCTTTAGCACTATGGTCACCCTGGTGTGTCGGCCAGAACACCACTGAAGGCCAAATTGTCCCAGAGTACAGAAGAAACAGCTTGAGGTTTGGTTTGAGGCACTTTATTCTCACGACTCAGTTCCTGTGGCTCTAAACACGGGTGTGCGTGTGTGGTTTGTTATTATTCACGCACACATCACATCCCATCGACAAATCCACCTCTCGTCCGACACTAAACTGGCCACCTTACTAACTGGATGACGTCACCAGACGGTGGGCTGGCTCAAACTAACAGAAGGTTAAACATTAAATGAACAGTATATAAACTTACAAACACCTGTATAAGAACTCAAATAGAATTATCCTTTGAACTTGGGGCCTTTTATACAGATATAGTCTTGCTAAATGAACAAAAAACAACACACACACACACACACACACACACACACAGAGAGAGAGACCCATTAACGACTCAGTTCAGAAGGACTGAACGGGGTCACCGTATCACAAAACAAATTGACATCAACAGGTTTGCAGGCGTTTTGGACAAATGGCAGGGTCAGGAAATAATATTTTTCAGAAAAAACTACCTGATTTCGTCAGTGGAGGAGATATGACTGAGTAAAACCCTGAAAAAGTAAAATTTAATTCATAAGGAAAATGTATACACATATGTATAAAAATGACTTTATTTCCCAATTTAAACATGTAGTACAACTCTTAAAATGTGTCTTAATTACTAGTAAACTAGTAAAACACACAGGAAGAGCCCATTTTCATATTCATGTTGACCTTCAGAGTGTTTCCCTGGCTGCCACCTTGTAACATCCTTTGCTTCCCACTGCACTGTATTAGCCAGTAAACACTAATTAGTGCTTTGAACTGATGCATAATACAACCCAAATTATTTCAGCCATCTTGGGTGCCACTGTCAGAAGAAATGGACGATATGGTAAATGATCATTTGACACACCTCAGCTTTAAACAGGTGATTTCACTCCATTTTAGTCTTTAAAACTGGAGATTTTGCTGTGTGATTTTTGTTATTCTTAAAGTGACACTAGAGAGTGTCTATATGAGTCCACTCCTCTGAGTGTTAAATGAACACTTTTGATAGTGTTATATTTTTTAAAAGTAACCTAGTCAGTTTTGAAGATTAACAATGACTAACACTGAGCAGTGTTGATTTTCTAACACTGGAACATAACTCAAAATGTTAGAAATATTCCAGTGTTTGAAAATCAGTACTGGAGATTTTGCTGTGTAGGAGAAAGATTTGTAGTAAACAAAAATTGACAAATTTTAGAATTACATATGCCACATTCATTGTGTTTGGGTTTTTTTGCTTGTTGTTTCAGTACAGTGCAGTGGAATAAGCAAAACTGATTAAGTCTAAACAGTAGTAAAGTTCAGCTACAGTTAGCTGGATCATACCTACAGTTGCTTGCAAGGGTATTCGGCCCCCTTGAACTTTCCCACATTTTGTCACATTACAGCCACAAACATGAATCAATGTTAAGACCAACACAAAGTGGTGCACACGTGAGAAGTGGAACGAAAATCAGACATGATTCCAAACATTTTTTACAAATAAATAACTGCAAAGTGGGGTGTGCGTAATTATTCAGCCCCCTGAGTCGATACTTTGTAGAACCACCTTTTGCTGCAGTTCCAGCTGCCAGTCTTTTAGGGTCTGTCTCTACCAGCTTTGCACATCTACAGACTGAAATCTTTGCCCATTCTTCTTTGCAAAACAGCTCCAGCTCAGTCAGATTAGATGGACAGCGTTTGTGAACAGCAGTTTTCAGATCTTGCCACAGATTCTCGATTGGATTTAGATCTGGACTTTGACTGGGCCAGTCTAACACATGGATATGTTTTGTTTTAAACCTGTTGTTGCCCTGGCTTTATGTTTAGGGTCGTTGTCCTGCTGGAAGCTGAACCTCCGCCCCAGTCTCAAGTCTTTTGCAGACTCCAACAGGTTTTCTTCCAAGACTGCCCTGTATTTGGCTCCATCCATCTTCCCATCAACTCTGACCAGCTTCCCTGTCCCTGCTGAAGAGAAGCCCCCCCAGAGCATGATGCTGCCACCACCATATCTGACAGTGGGGATGGTTCAGAGTGATGTGCAGTGTTAGTTTTCCACACATAGCGTTTTGCATTTTGGCCAAAAAGTTCCATTTTGGTCTCATCTGACCAGAGCAGCTTCCTCCACATGTTTGCTGTGTCCCCCACATGGCTTGTGGCAAACTGCAAACTGGACTTCTTATGGTTTTCTGTTAACAATGGCTTTCTTCTTGCCACTCTTCCATAAAGGACAACTTTGTGCAGTGCACGACTAATAGTTGTCCTGTGGACAGATTCCCCCACCTGAGCTGTAGATCTCTGCAGCTCGTCCAGAGTCACCATGGGCCTCTTGGCTGCATTTCTGATCAGCGCTCTCCTTGTTCGGCCTGTGAGTTTAGGTGGACGGCCTTGTCTTGGTAGGTTTACAGTTGTGCCATACTCCTTCCATTTCTGAATGATGGCTTGAACAGTGCTCCGTGGATGTTCAAGGCTTGGGAAATCTTTTTGTAGCCAATAACTTTATCCCTGACCTGTCTGCTGTGTTCTTTGGACTTCATGGTGTTGTTGCTCCCAATATTCTCTTAGACAACCTCTGAGGCCGTCACAGAGCAGCTGTATTTGTACTGACATTAGATTACACACAGGTGCACTCTGTTTAGTCATTAGCACTCATCAGGCAACGTCTATGTGCAACTGACTGCACTCAGACCAAAGGGGGCTGAATAATTACGCACACCCCACTTTGCAGTTATTTATTTGTAACAAATGTTTGGAATCATGTCTGATTTTCGTTCCACTTCTCACGTGTGCACCACTTTGTGTTGGTCTTTCACGTGGAATTCCAATAACATTGATTCATGTTTGTGGCTGTAATGTGACAAAATGTGGGAAAGTTCAAGGGGGCTGAATACTTTTGCAAGCCACTGTATATTCATAGTGCTTACAGAAAGCTAGCATGCATTCACTTCATTTACTTGACAAAGATAAGCCACAGGGATGTGCAGTCATGCTGTGTTCTCCTATGCAGGGACACAATTACATACATTTACCAGTGATTCCCAAACTTTTTTGGTTAAGCCCCCCTTTGTTTTACAAGAGCAATCTTATTGTTTACATGAGATGAATTTCTACAATGGCAGATAGAGCCAAAATACTGTTATTGTTAATCTGACTATCTGCAGGTTTTACAGGCTTACATACACACACGCAGTTACTGTCCTTCCATTTACAAAAGCAGAGGCGTCACGGTGTGATTATTTTACGTGTAGTTGTTTTTTCCTGTGTAATAATATTCAACATTTCTATTAATACATTTTTCAAAAATGCCTCTCTGTGCAAAATGGTTTCAAAAACATAAACAGCTGTGGGATCCTGTTTGTCTGTGATTTGAACCGGGGAAACAAATTATGGCAGGATCAGCCTGATGTTATTTGTATCCCACTGTAACTTTACTGTATACAGAGCTAACATCTCCAAAATGTCAGGTGTAGTTAGTCATTACAAAAAGTGTTTGTGAACTAAAAATGTGGGGTACTGTTTGTCCGTGAGTTTGAGAGCCCAGCGCTGCTCCCGACGCAGGAAAAACTAATTCTGTGGCAGAGACCTACAGTGGGGCAAAAAAGTATTTAGTCAGCCACCGATTGTGCAAGTTCCCCCACTTAAAATGATGACAGAGGTCAGTAATTTGCACCAGAGGTACACTTCAACTGTGAGAGACAGAATGTGAAAAAAAATCCATGAATTCACATGGTAGGATTTGTAAAGAATTTATTCGTAAATCAGGGTGGAAAATAAGTATTTGGTCACCTCAAACAAGGAAAATCTCTGGCTCTCACAGACCTGTAACGTCTTCTGTAAGAAGCTTTTCTGCCCCCCACTCGTTACCTGTATGAATGGCACCTGTTTGAACTCATCATCTGTATAAAAGACACCTGTCCACAGCCTCAAACAGTCAGACTCCAAACTCCGCCATGGCCAAGACCAAAGAGCTTTCGAAGGACACCAGGAAAAGTATTGTAGACCTGCACCAGACTGGGAAGAGTGAATCTACAATAGGCAAGCAGCTTGGTGTGAAAAAATCAACTGTGGGAGCAATCATCAGAAAATGGAAGACATACAAGACCACTGAGAATCTCCCTCGATCTGGGGCTCCACGCAAGATCTCATCCCGTGGGGTCAAAATGATCATGAGAACGGTGAGCAAAGATCCCAGAACCACACGGGGGGACCTGGTGAATGACCTGCAGAGAGCTGGGACCAAAGTAACAAAGGTCACCATCAGTAACACACTACAACGGCAGGGAATCAAATCCCGCAGTGCCAGACGTGTTCCGCTGCTGAAGCCAGTGCATGTCCAGGCCCGTCTGAAGTTTGCCAGAGAGCACATGGATGATACAGCAGAGGATTGGGAGAATGTCATGTGGTCAGATGAAACCAAAGTAGAACTTTTTGGTATAAACTCAACTCGTCGTGTTTGGAGGAAGAAGAATACTGAGTTGCATCCCAAGAACACCATACCTACTGTGAAGCATGGGGGTGGAAACATCATGCTATGGGGCTGTTTTTCTGCCAAGGGGACAGGACGACTGATCCGTGTTAAGGACAGAATGAATGGGGCCATGTATCGTGAGATTTTGAGCCAAAACCTCCTTCCATCAGTGAGAACTTTGAAGATGAAACCAGGCTGGGTCTTCCAACATGACAATGATCCAAAACACACCGCCCGGGCAACAAAGGAGTGGCTCCGTAAGAAGCATTTGAAAGTCCTGGAGTGGCCTAGCCAGTCTCCAGACCTCAACCCCATAGAAAATCTGTGGCGGGAGTTGAAAGTCCGTGTTGCTCGGCGACAGCCCCAAAACATCACTGCTCTCGAGAAGATCTGCATGGAGGAATGGGCCAAAATACCAGCTACTGTGTGTGCAAACCTGGTAAAGACCTATAGTAAACGTTTGACCTCTGTTATTGCCAACAAAGGTTATGTTACAAAGTATTGAGTTGTATTTTTGTTATTGACCAAATACTTATTTTCCACCCTGATTTACCAATAAATTCTTTACAAATCCTACCATGTGGATTCATGGATTTTTTTTTTCACATTCTGTCTCTCACAGTTGAAGTGTACCTCTGGTGCAAATTACTGACCTCTGTCATCATTTTAAGTGGGGGAACTTGCACAATCGGTGGCTGACTAAATACTTTTTTGCCCCACTGTACCTCGGCACTTGTGCAGGTGAAGCCAAAGGGAAGATATGCTTCACCATATTTTCTAGTCTTTGGCTTGGAAGGAAGTTGTTTGTAAACAAATTTGGCGATGCTTCATCTCCTGCTTTGCGTTTGTGTGGGAGCCCCGTCAAAAACCTGTCCATTACGCTAGCAGTGTCCAAACATTCTTTCTTTGTTTTGTTTTTTTCTTTTCATACTGTGCCCCCGCCTGCAATGGCGCTGTGCCCCGCCTAGGGGGCGCGCCCCACACTTTGGGAACCTCTGCATTAATCTATAATTGATCAATATATTTGTTGGTGTGTATGATGGAGGAAGGACGAGCTATCCACAGGAAGCATTTTGAAAAAAAAATGACCAGGCTTGTGAAGTTGAACAGCTCTAGTTGTTCAGGTTTTTATTTATGGATTTGTAAAATCGATTTACATACATTCAGATTGTTTTGTATTTGTCATCGGACTGAAGCACAAGTTTGCAAGTATTCAAAATGACTCACAAATCATTGCATTTGTAAATCTTAGCTTGTGTTTGTGGATCATGTCATACACATTTGTGAGCCCTTTCAGATAAGTTTAACCCCATAGTGATGAGGAAATTTATTCCTAGAAACTGGTGGACTGTTGTTAAAAGGAGAACACGGCCCTGTCCCATTTGTCGAGTGTTGCTGCCATCAACTTCAAAATGACCTCTTTTCTATTTTCTATTATGAATAAACTATAGATTTATAAGATTCTGTTTTTAATTTACATTTGACATACATGCCAACTTTTCTTAGAACTGTAATTGTATCATATTTTCATAAGCAGTTCAGTTTCACATCTATAACATAGAGCGACAGACAGTAGCCGATGTTTTATCGGTTTTCTAATAATTCCACTCTTGTGGAAAGGTGCCTTTTTCAAGTTACTGCACATAAAAGGTGTCATATCCTAGGTCTAACCCTAGCCTTTCTTGACACCTGAAAATTTAGCTTATGGCTGTAAAATAAAGACAAAACATTGGTGTAGACATGTTTAATGGTTATCACACTGACGTTTTATTTTAAATCCTTGCAGTTTAAGCACATGGAAGAGTCTAGGCATATTATTCCTCTAATAAGGTTAATAGATTATTGAGTGAAAACTACTGTATTGTTTGTGTATCAATTATAAGTGTCACACTGGTCCATAGTTTTTCATTTTTATCTGCAATGGTCAAGATTCATAATTACAGGTAAATGTTCATTAAAGTGAGAACTGACATCAGAATGATCATATGTATTACCTCTGCTTTTTATTTTTGTTAGGGAAAGCCCGTGTAGCCAAGGAAAATGGATCTTCTGAAATGAATTGCTACCCCGTGACCTCATGTTCCCTCTCAGCCCCCGAGGGGAGTGGTGAGAAAGAGACAAAAAAAACATACATGTCCACCCTGACAAGACATGCCATCGTTACCGGTGCTTTAGGGAAATTGAAAGAAGTTGACCCCAGTCTGTATGATTATCAACAAACCCAAAAGGTTGAGACTTACATATTTGGAGTGATTCAACGACGAACTCTACCCACACGGCCCTCAAAGCCTCGTACGAGCCTGGCACATGATGCCCGAGTTGTTAACGTGGTAAGGCAGAGTAGTTTATGCCAAAAGGATGAACAACATTTACCAAAACAGGAGTTGGCTCAAGAGATCATTGCACCCTCCCAGTGGTCAGAAGGAATTGCTTCAGAGGCTGGCCTTAACCTAGATCAGGAGCAATACCTTAGGATAGGGCCTACTGAAGATCCCCCACTCCCATATCATCTTCAGCAAAAGGGGCTTTATACCAAACCCAGGCAAGCCTCCATGACGCTGCTTGACTATCCACATGGTAAAGATGTCCAACCAGACTCCAGCACTACTGAGCCTGACTTATCCCAACGTCTCCCCAAGTACCAGTCGCCTCCAGCAGCAGCAGCAGCAGCAAAGTCTACTCAACCATCTTCTCCCGAAGATCATCTGGTCAGTGCCGAGTATATTCCGGGTCAGCCTTGTCGGACCTCCAACCGAGCTTATGCACATCACCACACCAACCACCACAAAGGTCCTGGGGTGTCCAAATCCAACCGATGTGCATATTCTCCAGAAAGACTCTATCATCAGGAGCAGCAACCCACGGCTTTTCATATCCAACCCCCAAGGTACAGAGGAGGCCCAAAGAAATGTCGATCAAATGAAGACAGAGGTGGTGCCAGCAGAAAGCCAGGGAAGAAGGCGTGCAGGTCTCAGTCAGAGAATAGCTTACAAAGGTTTCCAGAGCGCAAGTTTAATACAGTCGAGAAGGATGGTAGTGGAAGTGGGAACGCTGGAAGGGGAAGCCGCGGTAATCAACCCAGAAGCAAAAAGCAGCAACAAAGTAGCGGTAGCTACAGGCGCTCGCTGTCCACTTTGGAGCTCAGCCAAGATGAAGCTGATCAGCCACCTGTGACAATACCTGTGCAAAGCAACCAAAACTGCTGTCTTAGGCGCACACGTAAACCCCGTCCTACACACGCATCATATGCTTACCCCACAACCTCGCACCATTTCCACCATCATCAGCACATGGAGTTTCAGTTGGAAAGGGACCAAACGCAACTGTGTCAGGCCACCGATGATTATTCTCACGCAGGTCAGGTAGAGTCTGAGTCGAGCATGAGTGAGGCTGACTCTCCAGATTCCAGCTCATTGTCCAGTGATTCAGATGAAAGTGGTGGTCTGGTTTGGCCACAGCAATTACCCCCAAGACTTTCCCTCCCATCAACACTTGCTCCATCTGGAGCACCTCTGCAGCCTAAGGCTTTTGTCAAGATAAAGGCCTCACATGCACTTAAAAAGAAGATCTTGCGCTTCCGTACTGGTTCACTGAAAGTAATGACCACTGTATGAAGTGAAACGAATGCCAAAGTGAAGTAACATGAGATGCAGTCCTTGAGTTTATGTACAGTGATGACATATTACATGGAAATGCTAATGAACTGATTTTGGACATGAATGGGTTTTAGTCTCAACAAGCAATGAAGGAAATGGCTGTCACTCTATGCATCTCCAATCTCTGTTTCAAAAGTAAGATGTAGAAATGACATTTTCCATGATAGTAGAAGTCTTAAATAGATGACTCACGCTAAAAAAGTCCTTGTCTTTGTTCAGATAAGTCCTGAAACACTGTCACGCATGCACATGTATATCATATTCCAAACCATGTATATCTTCACTTGAACTACCCTGACACAAATGAAAACGATAAGGGGCCTAATGTTAGACCAAGACTTTTGTTTGGGACTTGGTTGTATAAATCACAACACTACAGACTGTGTGTCTGTAGTGTGAAATTCATTTCACAACACTACTCCTCTTAACCCTTGTATGGTGTTCGGGTCTGTGAGACCCGTGTTCAGTTTTTTTCAAAAGAAAAATTAAACAATTAATTATTTTTTCACGTGTAAATGTGTTGTGTCTTTCCACTCACTCCACTTGATTATAACTGATTTATTTATAACATTTTATATAAAAGAAAAACGAGAAGCACATTAATTCATAAATGTGATCTAACAAAGGTAAAGGGAAAAAATTAACCATGTTTCCTGTTCATATGTCTTGTAATTGGGATGAAGTAAACATCTGTTGAGTAATTTAACATAAAATTGTTTGATAGTGTTAATTTGGAAAGCCAAAACTCTAGCGGGTCCACCAGACCCATGAACACTGGCTGAGTAACAAAAATACGAACACCACACAAGGGTTAAGGCACAACATACCAACAAGGTTTCACTAGAAACCAAGTTTCAAAGGTTTTGGTGAGCTTGCTGTCTGAATGTGCCTACTTTTACTCACCCAAAATGGTGCTATGTGTAAATCAAAAGCACTTATGAGCAGAGCTTAAGTACATTAATATTAATTTGTTTTATTTAATATATTTGCATTGTTTAGTATGTCGTATGAAAGTAAGTCATTCATTTATAGGTATGTAGATGAGCACAGGCTAGTAGAACGACTGCAGCATTTAAATAAAGTCATTGCCAATCGTATTTAAATGTATTTGGCAAATAACTTGACCCCAGTTCAGTCACAGAGAGATGGCAGACTGATAGTAGACCAGTGACTCTGTCTTTATTGCCTGTTTATCATTTTACACATTTACAATAATTTTTAACATTAAGTTTTGTTGCTATCTTCAACCACTGTGTGACTCTGATGTCTCTGATATCTAAGGCTTAATATTCTCTTTCAAGTGTGTAATGTCAACTTTACAAAATTAAGGATGCAATAAGTTGGACAAGGGATTTAAAAATAGCAGATTATTTGAAATCAATCACCATAAAAATGAAATAATAAATGCTTCTATTGTGACAATGACTCAGCACACACACAGGCAGCTTTGCAGGGTGAGTGTCCATTTATTCACAATGTTTACAACACCACAGCACTGAGCACACTCATGTCTCCAGTCCCAGCAGGCTACTCAAACGGGGTGATTGCTCAGACAATCAGTCCCAGCTGCCCTGGAAAACTGAGCTTTCTGGTAACGTTAAATCAAACCGTGCTCTTTTCCCAAACTTAGCCAAATATCTTTGGTGCCTATGAGTAACCAAACAAAGGTCAGCTGCTCTCTTCAAAGCAATTTTGTGATCAAGACAGGAATAAAGTAAAAAAGGTGTGGTTATTATTTTATGTTCTTTGCCTTACCAAACAAAGTGCCTTTAGGTGGCTGCTATATAAATAAAATTGAATTGAACTGATATTTGTGTGTGTGTGTGTGTGTGTGTGTGTGTGTGTGTGTGTGTGTGTGTGTGTGTGTGTGTGTGTGTGTGTGACCAAAGGGGGATTTCTATGGGCTGGGCTGTTTTATGACTTTAGGATTTAGCTGTTTCAGTTAACTGAAGGGGAGAGGAGAAAACATGTCAACACAGCAGCAAAAGAAAAACTTGCAGCCACATTTGAAAATATTTAACACTGAGTCAGAAACCAGTCGATTTCAGCTTTTTTGTGCTATGCTACAGTCAGTTTATAGCTTTTTCTCCATTCCTTCATTCCTCCATCTGGTAGTAGTTAGAAACAGAACCCTCCCTTCTGGCCAAGAACCGAGAGTATTTCCTGCTTAGTTGGTGGTGGGACAGAGAGGCATAGAGCCTGCAGAGGAAACCCCAGAGAGAGAAACAGAGGCACAGTTAGAGCGTGGGAGGAGGGTGAACGAAGGCCTCATGCACATACATCTGGCTTTCATTACCCAGACAGAGAAGGTGATGGTAAGTGAGGGCAGACAGACAGAGGGCTTGTATATGTGCCACTTTTGGAGATACTGTACATTTCTCTCTTATTTTGATGTTTTTCTGACTTTCACTAAGTTTATCTACATTTCAAAAGCTTGGAACCGACTTTCTAAACCTGCCTTCACTGTAAACAGAACAGCAAGAAGGCGTGGCTCATTTTTTTCGCTATTATTTTAACTTTTTTCTGTTTGTAAAAACATGAATCTTGGTGCTCTGGGCCTTCAATGTAAAGCTCGTGTACTAGTCGTGTCAGCCAAGTCCTGAGGGAATGACAGAGCCATCAGAAGAGTAGTCAAAGAGCAAAAGGTTCAAAGAATTTTAAAAAATAAGAGCACACAGAGAAAATGGTTTGGTGTGAATGTTTAATCCCCCTCTAACAGTTTCTGCCCAGGGACACAACACAACTGATATTTTGACGTCATGTTTAAAATGCAGTCAGTCCAAAAAACATAATTATGTTAAACTCAGTTACTCAGGATTTATGGTTTAGCAGGAAATCTCCACCATGGCTGTGTCCTATCTGCGAAACACTTTGAAAACCTACGACATAACCCAACGTGAGTCTCCCAAAATATGTGCATCAGAGCGACAGACCCCACCTGAAAAGCACAGAGAGAGACCACAACTCCCCACAAAGGCCAAGAG